ATATATTTTCGTTCGACTAATTTTCTTTCTTGGGATTAGTCGAAAGTCTAAAAAAAAAATTATTAGTTGCGCACAAGTCGAGTTTTAGAATATGAGTGGGATTTTTTTGGGATTGGGTTTTGATTTATTTGCGTCAGTTTATACTAAAAAAAATAATTATTCAAAGACGAGTCCACGAAGCAAAGAGCGAAGAGAAGAGAAGAAAGCCATGGCCAATCGAGAGATGAAGAAAAAAATCGAGAGCTTTGAAGGCCAATTCAAAACCATGAGCGAATCTGTTGATGCAAGGTTCGAAGCCATAACTAGAGAGCTTGTCGACACCAAGGCTGCCCTAACCGATCACCGCACGGCGTTGATGGAGGCCATCAACCGAAGGTTCGATGAGGTGGCGCACCACCTCCAACACCAAAAGGGATGGCCACCACCGCAACCGCACGGACGCGAACAACCCCAGGAGCACAAGCCGAGTAGGACCAATGTTTCGAAGGAGTCGATACCACGCGGAAAGGCCCAAGACAAGTCCAAGAAGGAGCCGAAGGTCAAATTGGTCAAGCACGATAAGTATGAGGTGGAAATTTTGGTCGAGCCGGTCGAGTGCGAGAAACCGCACTCGTTCATCAAAGAGGTTATGAGCGAGGCCGACGGAGTCAAGGATGAGGAGGGCCATGAAGAGGTTACGTTCGAAGTCCTAAAGGTCGAAGAGGAGGCGACGTCCCAACCGACTATCGATGCCAAGAGTAAAGTCTTGGTCGAGGAGGACCGTGAATGGGATGCGTGTGCGCTTAAAGAAGGAGTGCCCGAAGTTTGGATGTTCTATGATTAGTCCTTGAGGGCAAGGACATTCTCAAAGGGGGCGGGAATGATGCGAAAGTGGGTTTCAAGCCCTGACGACGAGAAGGTCCAAGAGCGGATAAGACTCGAGAAGGCCGAGAAAAGGGCCAAAACCACGCATGCATGGCCTAAGCGATGGGTACGAGCCCGTATGCGGGGCACAATGAGGGCAAGGAAGAAGGCCAATGAAGGTTGCGCAAGGCGACGCGTGAGGGCACGCGAAAAGGCATTCCCAAGATGGGCAACATACAAGAGCAAGAAGGGTCGCATTCAGTGCAAGCGCAAACACACGCATTGGCGTAAACGTGCTCGGACGAGACCACGCCTCAAACGGATGCGCCATTGGAGGTTTAGTAATGCACATCGAAGGAACAAAGCCTGGTGGAGATGC